GTTCGTTCGTTCGTTCGTTCGTTCGTTCGTTCGTTCGTTCGTTCGTTCGTTCATTTGTTCTTGGTGTTCTGTTGTGATGTGGTACTTGAGTGTGCATGTTCTTGCTCGGCGTGTGTGCCGTGGTCCGCTAACCCTCAGCATCTAATTCATCCCCAGGACCCCACCTGGAAGACATAGCAAGTCCACCCAAGGCAGTGGCCTTCCTTTCCAGGCCAACCTTTGGTACTTGGAGAGTGGTTATCCCTGTCCTCTTCGTTTCACTCATGTCGAATCGTACAGGGTCATCCACTTTTTCAGTATCAAGTGCGCAGACTCTGCAGCCTGGCTTCCTGCGCCTGGATCCTGCTTCTGACACTTCCAGTGCACATCCTTGGACAAGGATGTCGTCGTGCTATGCTCGTTGTCTCATGTGTCACATGGGAGTCGCGTTGGGGTCTGCTGCCTATGGCTGCTGGGGCTGGGAGAGATCAGGCTCTCATAGGGCTAAGCGTGGAGCCTAGGCTCATCGCTTCTTCTGTGCTAGCCAAAACTCTGGTGCGCTGTGAGCTGACTAGTGGCCGCTGTGGTGGTGGTGGTGGTAGCAAAACCTCTCCTTGGATTTGGGAGTCAATGTTGAGACAGAAGTTCTCTGTCAGGTACATGGGTGGGTGTTGGCGCTTAGAGTTTGTGCTGGACTTCCGATGAGACCAAGGAAGCCTGTGCTGCTCAGTAGTGACAGCATTCCAGCAGCGGCTTCTGAACAGGATACCCCATGCAGTGGGGTCAGCGGGGCCACCAGAATGCTTGCTTCACTTAGGATGCCAGTGCCTGGATTCTTGACCCCAGCCACCATTACCCTCAGAAGACTCTTGTGTGAGGTTGCCAGGCTGAATGGGGAGTGGGTTCCATGGCATCTCACCTCCCTGAGGAGCCATGAGCAGCACATGCATGATGCACGTGTGTGTTGTGTGCAGCCAAGTGTTAGGGGCGGTGCTCACTCCCAGGAGGCCCATGGATGCTCGTGTGCCATGCTACTGTTTCATACTTGAAGAGAAATTATCCTTGGTGTGTTCGCTTTTTGGGATGAATCATACAAGGACAATTTCTTTTTGAGTATCAAATACTACCCCGATGGACTTCCTGGATGCCAAGATAGCTCTGTAAGGAGGTGCATGGGTTAACCTTACCTGGGCAGAGGGCAAGGAACTTTCAACTGATATGTAGAGGGTGCACTGGGCTCCTACCTCAGAACCTTACCCAATGGGTCCAGGGGCTCCTAGGTGGTGCCATCTCCACGGCTTGGTCATGGTGGGATAGCATAGCTTTTGTGACTCAGAAAATCCTGCTTTGGGGATGTGACACTGATCTCAGAGATCATCACTGGGCTCAGCCCCCTGCCTCTCACCTGAGAGTGTGACTGGCTCCACAAGCATGTGCTTGACTCATGGAGTGACACTGACCCACTAGCCATATAGTCTGGACCATGGGAGATCAGGCCAGAGGAGCCCCTGGCTTTGGAGGAGATCCTGAGGGTTTTCTCAATGCCATACTTTTCTGGCACTTAGAGAATGACTGTCCATAGTATGGTCTCTGTATTTATGATGATTAACGTTGGACAAGCATTGTTTTAGTTATCTGAATTTGCTTCAGAAGGTACTAGAACACAGTGCTGACTTCAGCTGATGGACACTGGTGCCTGCACCAGAAGAGGGTGACTTTAGTAAGCTTTCTTCTTAACATGCAGTGACCTCAGAATGCAACCCATCCCCTCGTCCCCCATCTCCTGCCGTGTGCTCTCATGCTGACAGCTTTGCAATGGCGATAGCTTTGGTGCCTTAGTTCTTCCTGCTTGGTCTGGAGGACACTGGGAATAACTCACCTGTCTGTCCTTGCTGTTCAGTCTTAGCTCGGAAGAACTCCTTGGAGGGAGGTACTGGGGTCAAGCAACTCTGTAGCTACACAAAGCTTGGCCGGGGACTTCTAAGTCCAGCACCCACTCTCCCTAGCATCCATTCCGAGCACAGACTTCCTGTGGGAGATACAGGTGTTAATGAGGGCACTTCCTACCACGGCTGCTTTAAGTCACTCTCGTCTGTTCCTATGGCTTATTCGTGGTGGACACGACATGGGTTCTTTTGGGCTGACCTTATCTTAGGTGTATCTGGACTAAGACACTGTGGTCAACAGCACATCTTTTCAACTCATCCCACCACCTGATTGTGTGTGTGTGTGTGTGTGTGTGTGTGTGTGTGTGTGTGTGTGTGTGTATGTGGTGTGCATAGGTGTATAAATCATTGGTTAGAGTAGGGTCTCTCAAACTGCTCAGTGCTGCTAAGATATTCATCGCCTAGGGATCTTGTTAAAAAGCAGATTCTGATTGAGGGACCAAGATTCTGCATTTTTAGCAAGCTCTCAAGTGATGTTAATGCTGCCAGTCTGTGGACAACACGTGTAGCCACTGGGGGCTGGAGATGACGCTGTGTGTTACTTGTAGTGTGTGTGCCCCATCTCTCCCGTGTGCCCTACATTATCCATCATGACTGAGCATCCTTCTGATAATCAAACTGTGGTCAGTTGTGAAGAGCCACCTTCTCCACAGATGTCATGTGATTATTCTTTCAAATCAAATCATACCTTCATGGGCTTCCCAGACATAAGAACCACTTCAGGGAGGGGCTCATGGAGGACTTGTCAGCACCAGGTCCCCAGCCTTAAGTGTTATTGATGATCGAGGCCATCTGACTCTGTAACCCTCCGTTTCCAGTTAATCCTCAGGAGCAGTTCCTGAAAGCACAGCCATGGGAGCAGAGGAATCCTATCTGCAGAGGCCAGCAGCACTCCCTCCACGTTATCTAAAGAGGTATTATCCACGACGGCCTTGCCCTTCTGTGATAGTCCCCCAGCTGGCTTCTTGTCATCCAACCCACCTCTCAGGGAGAACCAGAGAAGGCGTCCTTTTTTTTTCTCCTAAATTGGTCTACCTTAAGAAACTTCCCAAACTTGGTTCCTTGGGTGTGGGTTTCTGTCAGACCAGATGTTGACCTTGGGACCAATGTGTAGCACTGAGTGGTTGATGTCAGCTCATGTGCCTCCTTACAGGCTGTGGGCATGTGCCTCTCTGACTAGGGGTTCAGTTCATCACGGGAAGAATCTTCTGGAAGCAAAGATGGCAGTGGACAAGAGGCCTTGGTTTTCCTGTCAGAACTATCTGAAGATATTTGAGGTCATCAATGTCATGTTTATTTACTCACCATGAATAATACACAGTTTAAAAACTCCTTTTGAATATCAATCTCCGAATATCAAACTTTTTTGAAGGTCTTCCCTCACAAGAGATGCGAGACTGTGTGCCTTGTGTGATCTTCAAATGAGCCCTGCACCTCCTTCAGGATGCTACTTGGATATTTTGCTGATGGACAAGAGCCCTAGGAAATTTGGTCCTGCTGATGGTGAACTTGATGCATTTTTCTGATTGCCTTCCTTCATTCTGCTCCACCAGTTTTCAGAGCAAGGATGCACTCCGAGGGTAAGCTGACCACAGGACTGCAGGCTTCCCCAGTCCAGAGCATGTGGGCAAAATCCTTTCACGATGGGTGGGCAGTGGGAAGAACCCATGAAAAGTAGTCACATCCTCTATAAAGACTCCCCTGGGAACAGTCTGGTTTTCAGGGTTACATCCCACCCAAGAACACCCTGGGAATTCAGGCTTGACTTCTCCCCAGGTGTGGGAAAGGCAAGCTAACTTGACCCTGTTCTTTTTTTCTCACTGAGGTCACTGTTCTTGGCACCCACTTCTTCCTCTAGTAGACACCAACAAGGTGCAGTCACTATCTCAATGGAGCTTCCTGACCTGCTGCTTGGCTCTGGGAGAAACTGGATTTCTTTCCTTCCTTGCTCGTGGAGATCACACCCAGAAGGTAAGGAGATCCTAGCTTCTAGGGTATCTTTTGATTCTGGGAAAGGGAGGTTGACCCATACCCCTGCTATGTGGAAAGATACTGTTCTCTTGGCCTATCACCTTCAGGGATGATGCCTATGCCTGATGGGAAGCTCAGCTCCCACCCTCTGGATGACGGTTCCCTTTGAGATAACCACTCCTGTTGAATCCTTGGATAGAATCCGTTCAAGATGGATGCCAGCTTCATACAAGGGCACCATCAGACTTGGCCCAAGGTACGTGGGAGTAGAGTGGGTCCAGGTAAACCCAGGCACTAGGGATGTCTGTGGCCTATAGCCCATACACCCCGTCTTCAGAACACTTGTGAATTCAGGTTGCTCCAGCCCTGCTCTCTCTCTTTGTCAGAGAAAAGTACCATCAGCTACCAAAAGCACATACTAGATGGCCAGTCTGTGTAAGAATCCTCAGAATGGAAGCCCAAAGCCCAGGAAGATCTGATGGATCAAAGGACACAGGATGTGCCAGTGAAGGTCACAGTCTTCTTTGTACTGGACCCTCAGCACCCAAGCTGCACTAGTGAGGCATGAGATCCTTCTGCCACATCTTGGCAGGTATAATCCCAGCTCCATTGAGGGAACATAAATATTTCCCCGGGTATAGGGAAGGAGAGCCTATTTCACAGCCTGGGCATAACTGGGACTAAGCCCCATGTCCTCCAGAGATATACCATTAAGACTTGGGAAGCCATTTCTAATGGAGTGTCCATTTGTCAAGACAAACTCCTTGAGTAGGCCAAAAGGAAGCTCCCTGGGGGCAGAGTGTTGTCCCTCATAGGGGAAAGGAGTCTGATCAAAGAACACACATGTAAACTGATGCCAGCAGACCCTTCCTACCAAGTGATGTCTTGGGTGGCTCCCACAGGCCATCCAGCTCTGAACAAGTACTGGGGTCCTTACAAGGTGATTTCCTCGCATATGGAGACAGATTTCCACTCCGTTTGCTTTCTTTATTTTTCTCCCTTTCATTGTTTGAGTTACGTTTTTATAGACAGAATCTCTCTGGCCTGGAATTCACTATAAAACCAAAGTCCCCAGAATTGAATGTATGCCAATCCTCCTGCCTCAGGCTCCCAAATACTGTAACTTCAGAAATGGGCTATGGCAAGCTAAGAGTTTGCTTTCTTTCATGTATATGTACATATATTTTTTTAATTTGTTTTTTTGTTTCTTTTCTTTTTTTTTTTTTTTTGTCTGTGTGTGTGTGTGTGTGTGTGTGTGTGTGTGTGTGTGTGTGTGTGTGCCGGAGTCTATGCATGTGTAACAAGTGCATTCAAGAGTCTGCGGAGATCAGAAGAGGCCATTGGATCCTCTTGAACTGGACTTACACATGACTATGAGTCAACCTTATGGATTCTGGGAACCGAACCCAGTTCTTCTGAAAGAGCATTAACTCCTGAGCCATCCCGCCAGCCCTCCAGGTTTGCTTTCTTGACATCTGGTTCTATGTGGGAGCATTGGTCTTGTTGGGGAAGGGCGGTTGACCTCAGCCAGCCTCAAGGACAGTTGTTCATTTGGCTAGATAGGAGAGCAAGGAGCGTTACCAATTCTCCTAACTCTTGGTCCTCAACCCTTTCTTAGGGAGACTTGCTGGATGGTGGATGTCTCTGAGAAGGCGGGGTCCACGGGCAGCCTCTTCGATGTTTGCAGAGCAGTAATCCCTTGTGCTGTTGGCTTCATTTGTGGTGATCATACAAGGACAAACCCAGTGCTGCTGTGGAGGTTCCAGGTATGTAGAGAGATTTCTGAGCTCTTGTTCTATGAGCGGTAGAGGCTGTGGGGAAGGAGGCACCAGAGAACAGTGTGTAGTCTGTGTTCTGAAGAGCCCTCTGATGCAAGGACAGTGACAAGAGAATCCATGTGGGCCGTTGTGCAGGTCATGGAGAGCTGATAAAAATGTCACCAGGATGAGAGGTCTTCCCGATGTGGAGGTGTGGAGACTGCAGGGTGCCCTCAAGGTGGGGACTGGATGAGCCAACATCAGGAGCGAGCAGGTAGGAAGAGGATGGGGCAGAGGCTGTACAGGCAGGATGTCTCTGAGCCCTGGTCCTCAAGTGACTCCGTGGGCTACAGGGGCCATCCTCGCTGGTGTCATGGCTATCCCATCAAAGGCAATGACCCTGGGGGTCTGAAAGGCTAGTGAGATGGGAGCAAGTGTGACTGCAAGTGAGGAAGTCATAGGACTAATGCTGGGGAGTTAGATGACGTGTCAATGAATAGGTGGTTACAGAGAAAAAGAAGGGGGCGTATGAGACATTGATCACTCATAGCCAGAAGTGTAGGAATTGAGGAGATAAACAATTTCCATGGCCTTAGAGGAGAACCAGGTTTCCATCAGGATGGAAGGTGGAGCTTTGGGAAAGAAGTGAAGCCATGAGGGACTTTGACAGTGGAATGCCTTATGGAACAATGGGGGTGGTGGGACATGGAAAAGTGGGAGGCAGGTTCTTAGTGGAGCTTTGGGAAGCTACTCTAAGGAATAACTAGCTTCCCAATGGCTAGCCACTGGAATCTGGACATGGTATGTGATCCTACACGTCCAAGGTTTCTACTAGGAGGTAGGTAAGCCATTTGTGATAGCGTTCTTCTTGAAAGTGATTTCTTAGAGATGAGGCAAGGATCTCCTGGGATCATGAAGAGCCCAGTGAACCTCCCCTTGATCCACTTGAGGATGCTAGTAGCCCAGGCTAGGCTCTTTTGTGGTGGGACTTCTGTAGTCACCTGAGGAGTTTGATGTGTCAGGTGGCTAACTGTGTATGCACCACAGAGAAGTCCAAGCCCCCATTCACACACCCTGGGCTCTATATACCTGCAGAGGACTGCTGACCTGCAGCAAGTGGCCTCCCCTTCTCCTCTTGAAAGCTTCTCAGTGCAGACTCTGGACCAAGGAAGTTTCAACTTCAGAGAAAGAGGACAATGCCAGCATCGTTGCGAGGAAGGTGAGTGGACACCCCGTCCCACTCCACTGTGTTCCAAGAACACTTATCCCCCTCCTCACTAACACTCAGCATCCAATCTGCCTGCAGGTTGGTGGTTGGAAACCATAACCCTTGGAGAAGTGGAAGGGGCCCTTTGTCTGTCTTGTCTCTGCTTTTCTGTGGTACTTGAAGAGAAGTTGTTCGTGGTGGATTCGCTTTACTTGTGCCGAATCATTCACGGACAACACTTTTTTCAGTACCAAATGCTACCTCTAAGGATTTCCTGGACACGATGGCAACTTGCAGAAAGATGGCCTTTCAGTCAAGCTTGTAGAGAAGTCAAGTATGGATGGTTGGCCATGGACAGTATGCTTGAGCTAGCTGTGAGTCACCTGTTCTGGTTCCCTGAGCATCTGACCCATCTGTAGGCCTCTCAGTGAGCTGTGCCAACCTTGGGGAGGCAGCTCTGGTTTTACTACCGGCGTCAATCACCTCACAAGACTTTGAAGAGAGGCCATCTTCCAGAAGAGATGTTGGTGCCAGCACCATTCAGGGTGTGTGACTGGTTGACCAGAGGGGCGTGCACTCTGTTCACCCTGTGGGCCACCTAGTCACCAACCCTCAGCATCAATCTCACTCAAAGAAGACTCTCCAGAGATCCTGTCAAGTTTGGGGAAGTGTCAATGGACTTGATGGCTGTGCCCGCTCAGTGGACCAGGATGAACTGTGGTCTTGGGGGTGTATGTTTACATAAGATGCCATGAGGCATCCATGGTAGCTGCTGCATCACTATCACAGCCTACTTGAAGTGTTGACTTCAGATGTGGACATGATGTTGACGTCCCATGAGGGACCTGAAGTCCCTTCTTTCCTGGGTGTGTGACTGAATTGTACTTCACTAAGCATGTGCCTTACTTAGCTGATGTATCTATCATCTGGTCCTCTAACCTCAGTTTCTTGTCTCTCTGCAGGAGAGTCTGTGAGATACCATCATGGTTGTCCTGCCATCACCACACCACCACGGGAGCTTCGAGTATGTGCTCCCTTTGTGGAAACTGTGGAATGGCACCCCCTCCGGTCCAGGAGGACTAACCGGATCTAATGGCATCACCATCCCCTTCAGGTAAGTGTGCCTCGGGTGAGCATGCACTCAATGTAGGTGTATGTCACTCGGCTCGGCCCACTACCCACTGCTGTCCCTCCCCTTCTTCCCAGGACAGAGGATGTGATCACCGCTTGGCAAGAGTCGACACGTTCTTCACTGGCGTTCATGTCTGGTACTTGAAGAGAGGCTGGCTGTGATGAATTCGATTCATCTAAACGAGTCATACACGGCTCTCCTCTCTTTTAGTGCCAAACTCTGCCTCAGAGGGCTTCTTGAACCAGTGCTGTTTCCAAGGTGGGTTTCTGGATGACTGAACATGTGATAAGTGTCTCCCTCCAGCTGCATGTTTCACACATTAATCCCAGTGTCCAAACTAACCCTAAGATAACTTCCTAGGACACCTCTGATTTTTAGAAAGGTCACAGTAGCTGTTGGGGGATTCTATCTGTTTAAATATTGAAATATGCTGGCTAACTTCTGTTTTTATTAGTACCTAATTCTACCATGGAGGAGCACCTAGAAGCAGCTTTTGTTAGTTAACTTTCAGGATATAGAATAGACTGGTAACCAGGACTTTCTGGGACCCTATGTTGACTTATCAGTACCATTCCATACCCTTAAGTGAAGTCTTTGGAAAGTAAGCACAGGTTCATCTAACAGGACAGTCTGTTTTGTAAACTTGTGGTTTTCTGTGAGTGTGGCTCCACCACCTTCGACTCACTAAGTATTGCATGACAAGTTACCTTCCTCTTGGCACTAATTTTGGGTTGATGAACTAGGGGTTGGCCAGAGAGCATGGGTCTGATTGAGCCATCTGGTCCACTCATCCTCAGGGTCCTGTCCACTCTCAGAAGCTACTCCCAAGCTGCCCTGCCTTGAAGAAGATGCAGGAATGCTGTGAGAAGTACCACCTCCTGGTACTCAGAGGGAGGTTGTCCGTGGTAAGTTTACACGATTTAATGATGCCCAATGAACGGTTGACCTCCTTCCAGTATCACACCTCATCAGGTGTCTTCTTAGACCTGATGCCAGTCTTGAGGAAGCCACGTTCATGTTGTTTTATACTAGTGTCCTTGAACATGTGTTTGCCTCTGTAACTAACAGACAGGCCTGCCAGTGTTCCCTAACTCCATCGAGGCCCTTCATGGAGAGCGTTGCCAGCATTGAGAAAGACACCTATGTTATAGACTTAAGGCATGGATGTAGTGGTGCCCATGGTATCTCTTGTTTCTTATCTATTTGTAAAGGAAAATAACAGATCTCATCCCCCTTCTTCCACTGCTAGCAAATCTTGTCTTACAGGGAGGACTTCTAGACATGTTGGGAAATTCAGGAATGGGTTCCAGGGGTGAACATTTTGGGGAGAGGGGAAGATAAGTAAGTGGATGATTTTCCATGCCTGTCACCCAGGATATCAGAAGAATGGAGCAAAGTGGGAAGAAATATTTTCTATTTCCTAATTTTCTTTGTGAAAAGAGTATTTATTTACTCTACCTATTCATATATTTATAAAAAAGATGCATGCTTGTGATAAAAATTCAAGCAATATGAAAAAATTAAATTAAAAAAATTACAAAAGTTTCCACCCACACGTAAACAACTTTAAGAATTTCAAACTTCCTCCTGAGACTATACACACAAATGCAAAGGGAGGCTGAGAGAAAACCGTTTCACAGGGATGAATCTACCCTGTGTCTAATCATTTTATTTAAAATATTCATTATTTTAAATAATTTCACTTGTGCTTAACATAAAGAAACAACTAAAGGAGGCTGGAAGATTTAGTAAGCTTCCCCTTTTGCCTTACTGAAGCAAGAGTCCAACACCACTAAGAAAGGTGATGTGGAAAGCAGTGAGTAGTAGAGAATCAGTTCCCCTGCTGCTTCTGACAGCTGCAGACACGACCATGCTCCCACACCGACCCACATGCTTTCTTTACTAGGGTTATGCATTTTAATTTTTCCACTGGGAAAAATTAGAAAGTAAGTCTTAGAAGTGTTGAAGATTGGTCCTCAGTATGAATAGCTTTGGCCACTTGTTTTGTTTAAACTCTGCCTTCTTTTTTTTTGGAGTCTTTAATTCATCTCTCAATACAATGAGGATTTTTGTCATTCCTTCAAGAATGTCTCACAGGTACTACCCTTGAGTTCTTAAGACTGGTCTCTTGCTCTCAACCACAGGGGACAGATTAGCTGGGTATAGAATTCTCGGCCTACTTTAGACGTTTCCTCTGAGAATGTCCATACTTCGCTATCATCTTCTGTATTATTTTACTACCCCTTTTGGTGTAGCTTTCAAAAAACTTCTCATTTATCTAGATATATTGTCTAGTGGGTCCTCCTTTGTAGTTCTAGAAAGTGAACGCACAGCCTTCTGCATACTAGACAAGCATCCCCACCTAGCCACACCAAAGCCCATTGTACTCTCAGTTCTGCATATACTTTGGGGAGAGACTTGGGAGTACTGCCTACTGTGAGGTCTCTTATCTCCAGGAATGTCCCTCTAACGCCTTTATAACTCTCCTTTTCATGACTTTGTTAACTTTTCACTGTCTGTCTATAATCAGCCCAGAATTAAAAAGTTTGGGTTTGCTCCTTTCTTTCTGGGTGTAGGGGTCAAAATGCAAATGGCTCAGTCGACAAAGCTCTTGCCATGCAAGCATGAGGCTCTGGGTTTGACCCCAGTGCCCATTAAAACCCTGTCTCGAAAAACCAAAAAAAAAAAAAAAAAAAAAAAAAAAAAAAAAAAAAAAAAAAAAGCTAGGTCATGGCAATGTGCACCTGTTATCCCAGCACTGGGCCGGGGTGGGGGGCAGAGACCAAAGGATGTGTCCTGGGGTGCTCACTGGACAGCCTGTGTAACCAACTCAGTGAGTGAACTCCAAGTCCAATGAGAGACACTATTCAAAGCAATAAAGTAGGGAGCAATTGAGGAAGTCACTGGACGTTGACGCCTGGATTCTGTACACATTTACGTGTCCCCTGTGCACTCATTACCCTCCCCCACCTGCACACACAGTTATAACATGGTGGTTTGCATGAGGTTCTGTCTGGTACTTCAAAGGTTTCATCAAATTTATTGGTGAATTCTCTGCTCCATTTGTTGGCTTGGACCTCATGACTAGTATAAATTCCCCCATCTTTGTCCTGGAACCTTGACATCTCACGGTTGTCACTGTTCCATCTTTATGGCAGTCCTCCCTGTTGTCATTTGCATCACAAATTCGTTTCGTTAAAGGAATCAGACCCCTTTCTCGGTGTCACCTTCTGTCTTGACAGGATGCCTAATTGCTGCGCCAGCCTCTGGGATGGACAGGGACCCAGGACCCACCATCCTTGGGCAGGTATGTGAACTTGCTCTCAATTATTTGTTTTTCTCACATGCAGTGGGCCATTCATTAACAGTTACAACCTGTCTTTAGGCAGACATCTTGGAAGTTTGCTTGCCATGAGAAGTGGGGCCATGACCCTAAGGTCAGTGCCACACCATGGTGTCACATAGTTGGCACTCAGTGCTGACACTGTTTTGATGACCAGTATTGTAGAGCTAGCCTCTCTGTGAGCTCTGCAGGCAATCCCTAGGCACAAGGCCTATTTAAAAAAAAAAAAAAAGAGCATCATTGCTGTTTGCCTCAATGCTGATGTGAAGCTAGGGACCCTCCACTCTTACGATACACATGATAAAATCTATGCACGTAGGGCCTCCTTTATCAGACTCTGTAAGGCGCTCCTTAGACACTCCGTCCTCGGCAATGGTGCCAAGGCTAGATGACTACTTCAGCGGGGGAGGGAGGATTGGATGTGGGGTGTGTGATACAGCCTCAAGCCCTCTTGCAGTCAACGCACTAGCCTGCTGTGTTCACTGTGCTCGGGGGACTTCCTGGAGGAAGCCAGCTTCAGAGAAGAGACACTGGCACTCACCCGCGGTGCTTGAAGATAGGTTATCCGTGTTGCCTTCGCTTTGCTCGTGACGAATCATACACGGTTGACCTATTTTTCAGTACCAAATCCCGCCTTGGAGGAATTTCTGGGGTTGACCCTCACTTCAGGGTGGGACTTTGGTGTTAGCGCTTCTCCGGGGTAAGTGAAGAGATCATTCGCCACAGGCAGGTCCAGGAGCATACATGCTGTCCTCACCCAGTGCGTCCCTGGTTCTCTGCGGGACTCGTGGAGGTGGTACCTATTTGGAATGAGGGGAAATGTCCTCATTTTATTCCCTCTACAGATGACAGATAGTTAAACTTCTCTGGTATAAAATGTGGCTCTCAAGTTCAAGTTCAGAGCTAGGAATTGTGTACACACACACACACACACACACACACACACACACACACACACATCTACATGGGTGTTTCCATCAGCCCTCTTGGCATGCACTCATCTCTGGGCTCACTGGAAGATGTGGCAGTTCTGACCTTCTCACAGCTCTCTAGGACACACCCTGTGCTCCATTGGGAAACCCTTCTATGATAGTGCAATGGCTTCTGACAGTGGCCCTAACCACAGGCAGGGGACAAGAAATGGCCCAAGCCACAGGGCACGTGTCCTTTGGCTAGAATGTGTAGCTATCTGCCCAACCCTCAGGGATTCCCTCTTTAGGCCTGCTGCCTGGGACATGCCAACACAAGCTCCCGAAATCAAGTGTTTGAACAGAGGTTGTCCATGGTGTGTTCATTTTATTTATGATGAGTATTACATGGCCAATCTCCTTTCGGCACTAAAATCTTCCTGGGAGAGCTTCTCCGGGGGAGTTCTGTCAGCATCTGTGTGGGGTAAGGAAATGGAGTATCCCCTGCTTTTAAAAAAAAAAAATGAGATTTAGGTCATCTGGTTGTCAATGTAGGATGTCCCAGAAATGACACCAACTATTTTGGGTGGTTCTGTGGTTTTCTGGCCATTGTTATAAAGAGCAAGCACATTGGGTCAAAAACCATATTTAGATGAGAAACTGTCTCAGATGGAGACATGCTATAGGGAAGGAAGAATCTGAGGCACCCCGGGGGTGGGGCTAGCTGGATACAGGCCCCCATTTGTTCATTCTTCACTATCATCCTCAGTGTTCGAGTCCAGGGGTTGTCTCCAGGAAGTAGAACCAGCTACCAGACTGGAATGTGGGAGGGCATCTCATGGTGACATTTAGTATTAGAATGCTGATGTCCTTCCTCTGACTCCAGTGTCCCTTGTGAAGGAGAGGACTCGGCAGCATTCATTACTACCTGGTGCTTGCTAATGGTGTGACCTTGAGTGAGTCAGCCTGTCATCTGTCTTGCCTCAATTTGTCTGTATGAGAGCGTTAATGGCTGCTTATAAGGTATGTATGTACACACGCTGAATGTGTGCTCAGTATTTTCGTGATGCCTGGATTTCCAGGGAAAGTTGGAAAACCAATGGATCTTGTAATGATGCTCGCTGCATGAATGTAGTTACCATGTGGATGTCCTTCCACCCTCTGGAGCACAGGTTCCTTGAAGTTGGAAGCCTCGTCTCTAGTACCCTGTAGGGGTACACAGTACGGATGATGTTGGATGAGTGGCAGCTTGACATGCTTTCTTTGTCGAACCCTCTTCGAGGCCTCTCAGAAGCTGGAGAGAATGGAGGACGTCCCCAGAGCCTTGTACTTCCTGACAATGCTGCTTTGTCTGTGGGGTCTTGCTGTCCTCTCAGGATGCTGCCTTGGAGAGGGAGTCACCCCCTTTTAGGCCAGCCTTCATTGGTGGGCCAGATGGACCCTACCACACAGAGAAGTCATGGTTCCTACTGTGTCAGACCCACCTCAGGACTTCTCTGGGAGACACATTTTGGGATTCAGATTTGGTATCCATACATTTCTGGGTGAGTGACCAGTTGCTGGCCAAAGCCTGGACCCACAATGCATTTATATAAGCCTCTTTCCACCTGTAGGCAGGATAGAACTCTGCAAGGCAGTCCATGAAAGGCTGTTTTGCAGTTGGACCTGGGGGCTCATTGGAGGTAACACCAGCCTCACTAGAGGGTGGGAGTCAGGGAGCCAGAGCCGAGGGAGGCAGTGCAGCCTCTGGAAGAGGTGCCCTGCACTGCTCTCGGCCTGTGCTGACGTTTGATTCTGGAGCAGAGGTTGCCCTTGGTGAATTCGCTTTATTGATGTTGAATCACACAAAGGCAACTTTTGTTTGAGTATCAAAGCCTGCTTGGGGTGGCTTTGGGGAGGGTCTCTGTGTATGCCACATGCTGGAATGGATGATGGAGATAAGGTGTGAACAGCCAAGGGTGTGGCTCAGAGAACATGGATGGTGTAACCAGATGCAGGATTCCTGGAACCCATGAAGAGATGCCAGTGTCTGCTTGGCAGCTTTTCTCAACCCAAATCCTCTTTGCCACACCAGCACTTAGGTCCCCTGGTTCCAAACACATTGGCTACTCTAATCTGAAGACACCTTGACCAAATGAGCTCTCCCTTGACTGTGTCCAGGACAATGGCAGCCTGCCTTCTCTGTCTTCCTCCTCTCTCCAGCTCACTAGGTCAGGAGCTCTTACATTCCATCCATCGTCTCCCCCAACACCCACCCTACTCCCTGTGTGCTTCTCTTTCTCCCCTATTTCTCACCAAACCTTGTTCTCCATTTTTTGGATGGGTTAGGAAATGAGTAGAGGAGACCAGCATTTCATCCCGTTTACATTAAATAATAGTGATAAAATAATCACAAAATAACACTACAAACTACCGGAACGGCTCGGAGGAAAATGTGTTCAATTGACTACAAATTGGCAGAAGAATCCAATTTTCTTGACAACATTTCAGCTACGACTTTTGACCTGGGGAAACAGTACTCTGTAGACATGGCAGCCGCAAGAGGCGGCTTGCGATAGTGGCGGCTGCTGTGAGCAGTAATATTTGTGGTAGATGAACACACATTGAGGAATCAAATCTTCGTTCAGATTTTTAAATGGGAAAGAATTGATCCTAATGAAAATGATTTGAGGAAATAACAAGGGAAATAAAAGAAATGAAAATGGCTCAACAGCACAGTCAAGGAAGCTAAACAGGGAATTGGATTAAGTTTAATGGAATTTGCTCAAAAAAAAAAAAGCTTTTTTTTTTCTTTTTTTTTTTTAATGAAAATCAATGCGGGTGCAGTTTTTGGCCAGGTGGGGAAAATCTATGTGCTTAGACTGAAGCCAGTGGGGCATTAGGAAGACCTGGTCTCGTGCAGGTCCTTCGTGTGGCTAAACTTTATTTTCTGTCCCAAACCTTTACAGAGCGCCTCCTAGACAGGTGTGGTGACTGCAGTAGTTCCAAGCTGGCAAGGGTCCTCTGGAGGATGTGAATGGGTGCCAATGACAGAGCATGTACCCGGTGGGCAATCCTCTTCAGCTTCCTCTAGCCTCAAGAAACATTCTGGGTGAGACACTGGCTCCAGGGTGGGGTGGATGCTTCATGGACAGTGGGGTCTGCTCTTCCTGAGCAGTTGGCACCTGGAATGTTCTAGGGATCTCCCTTCCTTTGGGTTCCCATGTGACCAGCTCTCAGTGTTAGCTTTTAAGACATGCCCATTGTTGGTGCTGAAAGTCTCTTTGTCCTGAGCCTAGCCCCATCTGAGAGATCATCACAGAGCTGATGTATCTAGGATCTAATGTACTGCCTGGGGTGTGATAGGGCTCATTATTTTCTGGCCCGCTTTAGAGATGACTAGGGTTTCATGGTGGTTCTTTCCAGAAGGATCTTTACTTCGATGGACCTCAGAGGCAACAGCATTATCTTGAAGCTGGTCAGTGGCTGGAGCCCTCTCCATGACAGGTGCTTGGAGGAAGACAAGGTGCCTGGACAGTTCTAAACATGCTTGCTGACTAGACCTTGTATCTACCACTAGCCATCGCCATTGCCACTGTGTGGTTCTTAGGAACACTTCCAGGAGGTGACGCCAGCTCAGGAAAGAGCCTCTGATCCACAGGTCAGTTTCCAGAACACCTAGATGAAGCTGCCCGTGACGTCTTTTCCCCTTATGATAGACTGCTTGCGAGCGGCCTCTTTCTGCACTGCGGCAAGGCTAGACGCCTGTGAGAACTCTTGCCAATGTCAGAGAAAGGATTCTGCTGTCGGTCCCACTCCACGGTTTACAAAACGGGTGGTGCGCACAGAATCCAGCCTCTGCTTGTGGCCCATGTCATCAGGTCCTGACCCTCACTGGCTAGCCTTCTCCCGTGACACGCTTGTCCGGGTTCTTCCGATGAACCGTTCTACACTATGTGAAGAGAGACTGTTTAGGGTCCGGTTGCATTGTTCTTCCTCTCCTCCATCCATGTTTGTCTTTGACATTTTAACTGCTTTGTTTATGGGCTGAATGGTCAAGCAGCTCTTGCTGTTACCTCTTAAACCGCCTGTGAGGGATGACAGGGTGGGGGTGCCAGGTTGCGGGGTATGCGGTGGTTGGGCCCAAAGAGGAGCATCTCTAGATGATGGCATCAATGCCACTTTGCTCCTTCTGGAAGGCATCCTCACTGAGAGGGTGGAGGGTGTGCATGCAGGATCTTAGGGCTCCCCTGTCTCCAGGGCTGGCAAGCGAGTGTTGAGAGTGAGCAGAGTTCTGTGTTCACTTCCTGCACTGTGCCCACTTCTCTTGCTCAGTGCCATCCCCTGCCTACCTGGGTCTCCAGGTCAACCTCAGGGAAGGCTCTAGATTCTAGATATTCATTCTGGGGAGATGAAAGGATGGCAGATGCGCCGGGGAGGTGATGGGATAATTGCTCTCAGGTAGTGGAGGGTGGCTCCTTGCTGAATTGGGGGTGGGGGTTCAAACTCTGAGGGACTCCAGGGATGGGTCTTCTGGAAACACAGCCACCTTGAAGCATCGGCCTTGGTCTGAGCATCCGAGCCTCTCCATGGTACTCGGAGAGAGGTTACCCGAGCAACTTTGCATCTGGAGGACGAATGTTGCTCGGTGAACCCCTTTTCGGTATCAAATCCCTCCAGGGAGGCCGAGTGGAGGCCCCGGCACCTCAGGGAAGAACGTGGAATCGTCTCTGCTCTGGGGTATGGGACGGATGGTCGACCAGCTGGAAAGTAATTGTTTCTAATGTACTTCACCTGGTCCACTAGCCGTCGGTGCCCGCTGCAGCCTGCGTCTAGGATGCCACTACCTCGGCTCAGCACCTCTGCTGGTACTTGAAGGGAGATCGACCGTGTTATATTCGCTTGGCTGACTTCGAATAATACATGGTTGATCTTTTCTCAGTATCAACGCTCAGCTTGGAGAAGCACTTGGAGTTGCAGCCCCCGTGGGGGTGGGAAACGGGATGGTGCTTCTAGATTGCTACCTCAGTGGGGACTGGGCTGGGTGGGACAGGCTGTGTGCTGTCTGTGTCCAACGCCTCTCACCATTCATCTCTACCTCACCCCCCCCCCTCCCCAGGACAGCTTCAGGAGGTGATGCAAATTCCATGGATGCAGCAGCCAGCACTGGGTACTTGAGGAGAGGTTGTCTGTGATGAGTTCGCTTTATTAATGACGAATATAACACAGATGGCCTGTTTTCAATACCACCTGTCACTCCTGCCACTCAGCAGTACATACCAGGTGCCACAGCACTGCTCGGTAGGTGAATGCATGGACTCTGTATGACACTTGCCACCCTCTTCACCGAGCCTCAGCTTCACATCCATCCTGAGGAGCTTCCTGGGATCACACCAACCTTGCAGGCTGGCCACAAAGCATTGGCCTGGTGTGCGATGGATGACCAGAATCTCTCCACTTGCCATGCCTCTTGCTACAAGAGTGGGTGTCTGTCCCTATCTAAGGCATTCCACTGAGGGCTGCATGCCCGCATGCCCTGCACCTGGGGTGCCTCCCAGTACCAAAAGGATGGCATAACACTTGGGAAAGAACCAGGCCAGCCAGTTGTTCATATACCCCATGATGGGTTTCCATTCCTCATAATGATATTATACATGGTCATCTCTCTCTAGTATTGGATCTCACCTTTGTGAGCCTGGGTGTCAGGGGAGGGACATGCATTGCTGGCCCACTGGACACAGCTTGATGGTCAGGCATGTATCTGACTCATCCTGATCCAGAGCATCACATCTCCCTCAGTGGGGGTTAGGAAGCCCATCTGAGAGGAAGAAGCACCCTATGTAGAGTCCATGCTGCTTCGTAGTACCTGCAATAGGTTGTCTCTGAGATGCTTACTTTCTGGATGCTGACATGCTACCCTGGAACACTTCTGCTTTGAGATGCTGATGCCAGCAGCAGAAGCCTCTGTGTTGATTGACACCAATGTCTGTGTGTGAGCCTGTGGCCTGGCCTCTTACCTTCCCAGTTCTCCTCTGTTAGAAACAGCGTAGAATGTTCCCTTGAGTGTATGAGGCAGTGATCCCCCAGCTGTGTCCCTACCTCAAGCAGACACGAGTCCCAGACAGGGTGTGGCCCGTACTTAACGTGTGCTTTCTCCATCTTTGCACTCTGGCTTTGTCAGACTCCTGTGAGCTTGCCATAGAGGCTTGACCTGAAGATCAGAAAGCAGCTGATCATGCCCAGTAGGAGCCTTGGAGACACAGGCTAGAGACATTTGGTATTCAGTAAGGATCTCCAGAGTGGCAAAGAGTTCTTTCTGAGTAGGCTTGCATTGCCACTCCCCCCTACCAATGCAACTAGCACCCTCACCTTGGCAGCTCTACCCTGTGGGCTTCTTCACCTCTTCTGGGCCTCCTTATCACCAAAATCCTCTGTGTCCACAGAGGACAGTGTCTCCCTCCCCTCTCCATCATCACTCCCCCACAGCCCCGCCCAAAGGGTACGTGGTCTCTCTTCAGTCTCTTCCTCTTGTTCAGGAAGACCTGCCCATGCCCCTCCCTCTGGGAGCTGGTCCTGGCTGCCTTTTCACTACCTAGTCCATCCCTCTTCCTCAGCCTTCGTGCTCGCACATTCCTTTCACTGGAATTCAGGATTCCAAGGGGCATGGAATGGTCCCTGCTCAGCAGTGCCATGGAAGGCCGGCTGGCAACATCTATCCAGCTCCTTCCTTTTCCACACACTAGCCCCGTCTATCAGTCTGCTTGTTAGCTGTTCCTCCCAAGCTACCTGCTGTCCCAAACTGCCTAGTACAGTCTTCATGTCCCCAGGCTCTCCAACCCCACCCCCACCCCATCCCCCCAAAAAAAACAATTTCCCAGGGCAGGGACAGACCTTTACATTTTCCTTCCTCCCTCTCTTCCTCCTTCCCTCCCTCCCTCCCTCCCTCCCCCCCCCTTTCCCTTCCTCTTTTACTTCCCTGGCTTATCCTCTGCTGTATTCTAAGCCTTAGGATCCAGGCCAGGTCTATAGTGACAGAATAATGAAGCGTGCTGATTGACTAATAGAGTCCCCAAAGGCAGAAACCATATTAAGTTAATCCCCTGGAAAGTGGTGAGCATGGAGCAGGAATTCCATAAGATGTGGTGGCTGATTCCATAAATATGGAAGCTGGGTTTTGCATAGTCTTTGTATTTCTTAGAGGCTGTTTGATTTTCCAGTCCCTCACCCCGACCCCACCCCAGAGCATCACTCTTCTGAGAGTTGCTGCATCAGGGGGACAGGTTAGCTAGGTCTGCAGGCTTTTCTCCACTCCTGTAGCTGGGGCCCCACGCTAGTCTTCAGATTCAGCTGAGCCCAGCCCCCACCCTCCACTCCACGAAGGCCTCTGTGGCAGCCAGCCAGAGGCCCATAGAGCCCCTTGTGCGGCGGCGGGCCTGATCTGCTGTCAGGGCTAATATTTTATGCATGGACCTGAGTAAATGGGAACATTTGGAGATGGAAATTGCTGTTAATGGCACATCTTTGGAATATATTAAGCGTGTGCGAGGCTGCTGCTGGTCTCCCAGTTTAATTGTTCCAATGTAAGCGCAGCCACACCACAGCAGCAGCAGGAAGGCCACCCCAATTCCCTTTACCACTCGATGGGGAAAGCCCCAGGTACCTCACCCACCAAGGGAGTGTTATGCTTGAGACAGAATGTCAGCTGGGATACCAAGCAATCAGCAGCGTGCACATTCCAGACTCAACGGAGATCCCCCCCCCCAACCCCCCCACCCCAGAGGATTGACCCCTCCCACTTGAGGCAGACTTTTATTAAAAGCAAAAGCACTAGATTTCTCTATTGTTTGAGGAGAAGAAAAGACAAACAAAGGATTTTTTTTCTCATCCAATGAGTCAAGTGAAAATGTCTGTCCCCCAGGCCAGCAGGCCAGGCCGGCAGGAAGAAAGTCCCTGGGAGCACTTCAGGGGTCAGAGAATTCACCATCTCTGAGATAGTGCATAAACCCTGCGTGCCAAGGTCACAGAGCACAGGCCGTTTGTTTCTCTGTGCCTGGCAGACATTAGAGCCAGTTTACCCATCCCATAGTTTCTTCTGGATGTGACCGGACTGAGCCAGTGGAGCATTCCTTTACTGTTTTTAAGAGGGGGGAGGTGTTGTGTGTGTAGGGAGTAAGTACTAGCTGTCTCCAGTGAGTATTTGTGACCTGCACGGGGAGTAGGTTATGTTTTACAGAAGAGGAATTTACTAGGACTCAGAGAGGTTGAGGACTTTCCAAGATAACCCATCTGGAGACAGGGCTTCAGGCTATGTGTTCTTAACATTTCTGCTTGTGCTGGCCCACGTACCTCTAGAAATGACCCCACGAGCCATAGATGACAAACAGCTCATTGAATAGGTCTCCACATCTTTCTGTACAGTGAGGCAGGCTCACTTTTCCCAAGACATTGCTTGCCAAGATTGTCAAGCTTTTCTTTTTTCCCTGTTAACTTACCTGGTTCCTCTCCCATTAACTAAGATACTCTCATTCATGTCTGCCTTATAATGGGGCTGCCTACTCCATCAGGAAACCCAGGGCACTGTGGATGTTAAATCTCAGGCCCGAATTAGCTGTTTTGTTTGCTTCTACTGAAGGCCTGCATTAACTGTCTCTGTCATTGTGTGCACGCGCGCACAATGTGTGTGTGTGTGTGTGTGTGTGTGTGTGTGTGTGTGTGTGTGTGTGTGTGTGTGAATGAGCCTGCTGCCTCCCATCAGAGGCTGGAGTGCTGCATGGAAGAGCTGAGTACCTTCTGGCTGTGTGCTAGGTAGGCTAGGACAGTTCTAAAGATGTCACTCCTCACATGAGGTGCTCAGGGGCTAAGTCCCCTGAGTCGGCCAGTTTCTCTTATCACATCTTTGAGCAGCTAAGGACTCAAGACTGTAGGATCCTGTCCCCCTGGGGTGGGGACTTGGAGTCAGACCCACATCTAGTGAGTCCGTGGTGGTGTTTCTTTGTCAAGATTTGAAAGGCCGTGAGAACCTGTGGACCCCTAGGGCTGGCTCCTAGTAGATGCTCAGAAAATACCTGTCCTCCTGGGATCAAATGAGCTTAGATGCTAGCACAGGGAGATGATGAATAGATGGCTGTGAGGAGCACTCAGAGGATGTTTGTGGAATGAATAAATAAAAACACACTTCTTTTTTTTTTTTTTTTTTTTGAAGAAATTAAGAAACAAGGAAAGGGAGAAACATCCAGGGCAGACAACATAAATCTCCAGCAGTGTCACCAATGCTAGAGCTGGGGCCGCCGAGAAGCCCCTGTGGAGGTGGTGGGGCCATTTGTCATGGGCGAGGACAGGCTTGAGGGCTGGGACAGGGGGCCTGATGGAGGCCCGTCCATCATTTTCTCATTATCCCCGCGACGTGGAGGGCAGCTAGCGGATCGCAGAGCAGCAGCCTCCGACTGAAGGTGGCAGGGTTGGGAGTGCGAGGGACCCCGAGGGAGGGCAGGCTGCCCCAGGCCCTGCCCCCTCCAGGAAGCCTTCTCGCTCCAGCCCAACACACGATCTCACTTGCTCTCCCGGATGCTCATCATGCGATCTTTTATCGACGCTCCTGGGAAGGGGCCCTTGGGAACGTGTCCGCATGTGTGCCTCTGCTTGCCCAGGTTGCCCACACAGAGGAGGCGCTGTGAATGCTTGTTGGCTTGTCTCTCCATTGTAGACAGGTGAACTGGATTGGTCCTTCCAAAGTAGACGTTCAGGAACACCACCCACTTTCCATCCGCACTGCTAGTCCTAGGTTGGAATGGTCCCGTTGGGTATGACCATTGGAACAGCTATGGCTACAAACAAGCCCCGAGGCCTGACCTGAAGCCATCAATGGGCCTGGTAAGTGTCTGCCCTCAGGACTGGTTCATTTAGGGCTTGGAGCAAGGATGGGGTTTTCCCAGGGCACAAGGGGCCCAGAAGTTGTGTAGAAGATACACAGAACGGGTTTGGAGGCACACATCCCAGCCCTGCTCTCCCCCCACCCCCACCCCACCCCAATCCTGCCATCTGCGACAGCTTCGTTTTCTCTAACACTCAAAAATACATGGTTCTGCTACGTTCTCCTTGGCAGGCAGGGTAGCCAGAGCTGCGGGGCTGCCAAGGCCTGGGGGAGCCGCCAGCCTGCAAAGTTTACTGTACAAACAGTTGGGGGGGGGGCGTCTCTGTTCACTCGAAATCCCCATCAGTAAACATGCCAGTTTAAAGTGTAATTAACTCAGGCCGGAAAAGAATTCTGATTTGGACTGCTTTTCACAGTTGAGATTGTTTTTCTTTTATTTATTTATCTCTTTCCGGGTGTGGTGGTGTCTGTGGTGGGTTTTGGCCAGGAAAAATAGAAAGGGGGAGGGCTTGGTGGGATGAGCCCGTTGGGAGAGAGAATGCCAGAAGGAAAGGACAAGGGTGGATGGGCTTGACACCTGTACAAGCCGGGGATCTCCATCTATTTTCTGTCCTGGGTGGTGGCTCCCTGCAGATAGACTAAGCTGGAAGGCATACCAGGGCCACTTAGTGAAGAAGGAACACGGGTCTCTGTGCCAGCTGGCCAGGTGGCTCAGGGGTTATGGGATGCTGGCGTGACCCAGAGTAACTTGGAACTCCCTCTGATGCTTCCTTTGCTTCCATCTTCCAGCAGCGGCTCTGCCCATCTTTGTTACTTCTCCCTCCCTGGATCTCCTGCTTCAGACAATGAAGCCGGCTGACTGGAGAAGACGCCCCTCTGAGAGGACCAGGACCATGCAGGACCCAGTGGGATCCACTATCCCTGCCACACCCTGTGCCATCTGCCACTGAGCCCCCCAACCAGTACCCTCTGCTTCTTACCATTGCCCCGCCCCCCGCCCACCCCAGCCTTGCATTTTAGATCTCAGCGGGACCTGAGCAGCCCTTGCTTAGGAACCTGAGGTGGGGGTTGGGTAGGCAGACCCAGGGGACTGAGCATGGGTATAAGAAAAGATTTCTGCTCTTGGCTTTCAAAGTCTCAATGTGTGGAGCCCTTTGAATAATAAACATATATCATAAAATGTAAATATGCCTACGTGTCTGTGTTCAGAGGGACTTTTGTTAAGTGGGGATGGGGGTTAAAAGCATGGTCTGGACTGCTTCAGGGGGGGAACCTCCTGGGATGTCTCTGGCCTCTGTCCTGGAAGCACTTTGCTGAAAGCAACATCCCAAAGCAGGGGTTCACAACTGTATTCCTGACCTTGGGTACCAGCCCCATAGTCAGACTAAGGAATCAGGGACATGAAAAGATACCCTTTCCTATCATCCTGGTGTCTCAAACGAGCCCCCCCTTCCAGCTCCTTCTGCACAAACTGAGCCCCCCCAGGGACAGAGGCCAGATCCTGGGATACAGCCTGTGCCCACGCGCCTCTCATTGCTGGGCCTCAGCTTGGTCACGACTCAGCCGGGCTGACTCAGACAGAGCCCGGAGCAGGAGACTCATAAATTACATAATTACCCATGAAACCTGCCGCCACCGCTCTCTCCAGCCGGGAGGGACACGCTCCACTCAGGCTCTGGCCGGTGGTGACTCACTGTTTTCCCCAGAGCCTCTGCCCGCCCACCCACACAGCCACCTCATCTGGGCTGCTGGGCAGGAGGAGGGGGCCCCCCCCAGCCTCAGCCCCATTTCCCCCTCTTCCTGCTGTCGAGACAAAGGCAGGCAGCCCCCGTCTTGCTGAGGGCTTTGGTGGGGGCACTTGCCCCACGAGCGTCCCTCTACAGCCCCCTGGTGGCACTTCTCATAGAAGGCTGCATGTGACGCAGGAGGAAACTGAGGCTTAGGAAGGCCGGCCTGTCTCCTGTCCCTCCTGTAAGGTGGTTTTGCTTACAGCTAGCTGGTCAGACCAGCGGAGAGAACTGTGACGCCTCTAGCTGCTCATATCTGCTTTAAGACTTTTATCCCCTTCCCCAGTGAACCTTGGGCAGAAACTAAGTGGCCCTTTGGAAAACACTTTTCAAAAATGACCGTGCATTTGACAGGCATCAGGTGGTCTTTTCAACCCTCATGAGGGGTGGTCGGCCCCACGGCAGAAGGGACACCCACACCTAGGAGAAATGGATCCGTCAGTGAGGTGCTTTTCATGCCAACATGAGGACCTGAGCTCAGAGCCCCAGCAGAGCTCAGAGCCCCCGCGTTCATGCAAGATGCCAGGTGCAGCAGCGTGGGCCTGTCCAATGGATGTCTATGACCCAGCATGTTGAGGAGGCAAGGACAGAGAGACCTCTGAGCTCACGGACTAGCCAGCTTAGCCAAATCAACTTAGCTGCGTCAAAGAAATATCACAAAATAAATAAATAAATAAACTAGAGTGGAGAGACATTCAATAAGATGGCTCAGGGGTAAAAGTACCTGTGGCTGAGCCACAGTTTGATTCTCTGGACCCACATGGTAGAGGCAGAGAACTGATTCCAGCATGTTGTCCTCTGATCTTCTCTGCATGCATGCTTTAGCACATGCACACACATGCATGCAAACAAACAGATGCAAAAAAAAAATTCTCTTTAAAAGTGGAGGGTTATAGAAGACGCCCATGTCAACCTCTGGCCTCTACATGCACATGCATGCACAGCATACACATACACATAATTAGATAATAAAATGGTGTGTCTGAGACTGGAGAGATGGCTCAGTGGTTACAAGCATGTCTTGCCTCAGAAGACCCAGGTTTGATTCCCAGCACCCACATGAAATAAAAGTAAATAAATCTTTAACAAAATGAATGAATGAATGAATGAATAATAAATAAATAAATAAATAAATAAATAAATAAATAAATAAATAAAATGGTGTCTGATGGTATAGGCTATGTTTCAAAACCAGCTGTGTCACTAACCACTGGTAAATGTGACTTTCTCATCTCTAGGCCTCAGTTTCCTTAGCTACAAATCAAGATCAAGCCCACCATCCTCCTAAGCAAGAAAAGGGGACTCTTTAGCAGTGTTTTAAGCTCCCTTGAATTGGGAGATCCCTCTATGGCTCTCATTGACTTAGGGGCTCCCTCCAAGGCTCCCATTGACATAGAGGCTTCCTCTAATGCTGTCATTGACTTAGGGCTCCCTCCACAGTTCTCCCTCTAAGGCTGTCATTCTGTTGGAGACTCCCCCCCCCACAAGGCTCTAAATGAGTTGGGGACTCCCTCCAAGGCTCTCATTGAATCTTGGGGCTCCTTCCAAAGTTCTCATTGATTTGGAGGCTCCCTCCAAGGCTCTCAATGAGTTGGGATCTGCCTATAAGGCTCTCCTTAAGTAGGGGACTCCCAATAAGGCTCTTATTGAGTTGGGGACTCCAGACAGGGCTATCATGAGTTGGGGGCTCCCACTAAGGCTCTCAGTGAGTTGGGAGCTCCCTTCAAGGCTCTCATTGAATTGGGGGACTCCCTACAAGGGTCTCACTGAGTTGGGGGCTCAATCTAAGGATCTCATTGAGTTTGGGGGCTCTCTCCAAGGCTCCCATTAAGTTTGAGGCTCCCTCTAAGGCTCTTGTTCAGGTGGAGGCTTACTCCAACGCTTTCATTGAGTTAGGGGCTCCCTCTAAGGCTCTCATTGAATTAGGAGGCTCCATCTAAGGCTATCGTTGACTTAGGACCTGCCTCTAAGGCTGTCAAAGAGTTAGGGGCTCTCTTTAAGGCTCTCATTATGTTAGGGAACTCCTTCTGAGGCTATCGTTGAGTTGGGGGCTCCCTCTAAGGCTCTTGCTGTGTTCAGGGCTCCCACAAAGGATCTCATTGAGTGGGGTTCTCCCTACAAATTCTCTTTGAATTGGGGACTCCCTGCAGGGCTTTCATTGAGTTGGGGGCTCAACCCATGGCTCTCATGAAGTTAGGGGATCCCTTTAAGGCTCTCATTGAGTAGGAGGCTCCGTCTAAGGCTTTCTTTGAGTTGAGGGCTCAACCCATGGCTCTCCTGGAATTAGAGGATCCCTATAAGGCTCTAATTGAATTGGTGACTCCCTCCAAGGTTCTCATTGAGTTAGGGGTTCAATCCAAGGCTCTCAATGAATGGAGGGCTCAGTCCAAGGCTCTCATGGAATTAGAGGATTCCCTCTAAGGTTCTCATTGATTTGGGGCTCTCTCTAAGGCTTTCATTGAGTTTGGGGCTCAATCTATGTCTCTCATGGAGTTAGGGAATCCCTTTAAAGCTCTCATTGAGTTGGAGCTCCATCTAAGGCTTTCATTAAGTTGAGGGTTCGATCCATGGCACTCATGGAGTTAAGGGATCTCTCTAAAATTCTAATTGAACTGGGGACTCCCTACAAGGTTCTCACTGAGTTGAGGGCTCCCCCCAAGGCTCTCAATGACTTGGGAACTCCCTGTAAGGCTCACATTAAGTAGAGAGCTCCCAATAAGACTACCTACCATTGAGTTGGGGACTCCATCCAAGGCTTTCATTAAGTTTGCAGCTCCCTCTAAGTCTTTCATTCAGTTGGTTGCTCACTCCAAGTCTCTCACTGTTTTAGGGGCTCCCTCTCAGGCTCTTGTTGAGTTTGGGGCTCCCTCTAAGGTTCTCATTGGGTTAGGGGCCCCCGTCTAAGGCTATCATTGACTTAGGGGCTGCCTCTAAGGCTATCAAAGAGTTAGGGGTTCCCTCTAAGGCTCTTATTGAGTTAGGGGGCTCCCTGTAAGACTCTCATTGAGTTGGGGCTCTCTCCAAGTCTCTCATTGAGGTGGGGGCTCCCTCTAAGGCTCTTGTTGTGCTTAGGACTCCCACAAGAGGATCTCATTGAATTGGGGGCTCCCTATAAGCTCTCTTTGAGTTGGGGGCTCCCAGCAGAGCTTTCATTGAGTTGGGAGCTCCCTCCAAGGCTCTCACTGAGTTGTGGGCTCCCACCTAGACTCTCATTGAGTTGGAGGCTTCATACAGGCCTTCACTGAGTTGGGTGCTCCCTCCACAGCTCTCATTAAGTTAAGGGCCCCCTCCAAGGCTTTCATTGAGTTAGGAATCCCTCCAAGGATTTTACTGAGCTAGGAGCTCCCTGAAAGGCTCTCATTCAGTTGGGCGCTCTCTCTAAGGCTCTCTCTCATTCAATTGGGAACGCTCTTTAAGGCTCTCGTTGAGTTGAAGGTTACCTCCAAGGTTCTATTGAGTTGGGGACTACAACCATGACTCTCATTGAGATAGGGTCTCCCTTTAAGGCTCTCATTGATTTGGAGACTCCCTCCAAGGGTCTCATTGAGTTTGGAGCTCCATCAAGGGTCTCATTGAGGGCTCCCTCAAGGCTCTCATTGAGTTTGTGGTTCCAAGGCTCTCTTTGAGTTAGGGCCCCCCTCTAAGGCTATAATTGACTTAAAGGCTCCTTCTAAGGCTATTGTTGAGTTAGGGGCTCTAACCATGGCTCTCATTGAGTTGAGGTTTCCCTACAGGATCTCTGAGTTGGAAGCTCCCTCTAAGGCCTTCACTGAGTTGGAGGCTCCCTCCAAGGCTCTCATTGGGTTGGGGGCCCCCAAGGCTTTCATTGAGTTAGGCTTTCCTCTACAGTTCTCATTGAGTTGTGGGACTTTCCCCAAGGCTCTAATGGAATTGGGGGCTTCCTCAAAGGCTCCAATTGGGTTGGGGGCTTCCTCAAAGACTCTCATTGATTTGGGGGCTCCCTCCAAGGCTATCATTGACTTAGGGGCTGCCTATAAAGCTATCATTGAGTTAGGGGCTTCCTCCAAGTCTCTTAATGAGTTGGGGACATCCTCCAAGGCTGTCACTGAGTTGGGAGCTCCCTCTAAAGCTCTCATTGAGTTGGGGCCTCCCTCCAAGGCTCCAATTGGGTTGGGGGCTCCCTCCAAGGCTCTTGTTGTTTTGGGGAGTTCCTCCAAGACTCTCTCTGAGTTGGGGGCTCCCGCTAAGGCTTTCTTTGAGTAGAGGACTCCCTCCATGCCTCTCATTGAATTGGGAACTCCTGCTAAGCCTCTCATTGTATTAAGGGCTCCCTTTAAGACAATCATTTTGTCAAGGCTCCCAACAAGTCTATCATGTGTTGAGGGCTCCCTCTAAGGCTCTCATTGAGTTGCTGGCTCCCCTCCAAGCCACTCATTGA